GCGGTAGGTTTAAGAATGGCCTCAAAGTCATAAACGATGAAGTGATCGATGTAATAGTCAGCATCCTTGATGGAATACTTCGTAAGCAGCGATCGTATCGTGTTCTAAGCCGGTTTGTATATAGTTGGCTCAGTGGGGAAGCTCTCAATATTCATAAGCTGGCACTGGTTTTTCTTGTGATTTTTAAGTCTTTCACCACTCACAAAAATCATTTCACACTTGGGGCACTGATACTTAGACTGGAGCATATCGATGCTCTTGATGTAGAGAGCGTTCTTCTCGTGTGATAGAATATCCATAGCTTCATACCCATTGTCCGACCTACGAATGCTTTCAACATTTCCGGTAGCTACATCCATGCTGTATACGTTAAAACCGAGTTGGGAGCAGTCATCAACCTCATCGAGCTGTAGTAGGTCAATAGGCTTGAAGCTTTAAATAGACTCAACGTATACTTAATCCCCTAAAAATAGCAGTAGCGCTTGAATGCATCCTTCACCTGAGCCTGTATGCTGCTGAGGATCCTTCTTGGTGCTCTGGAATTTGTGCTAGGCGATGCAGTGGAAGCCGCACATGTTGTTAGTCTTGGGGAAGTTGATTACATGTTTATTTTCGCGAATAACCTTAGGAATATTCGCGAACATAAGCATGTAATCAACTTCCCCAAGACTAACATCGCTTTCTCCAAGAGCATGGTCGCGATGGTAGACGAAAATCTTGAATGCAGTGATTGCATTTAGCTTATATCCAGAGATGGGGTAGTTCAGCTTGTCAACCAACTCCATAGACCGAATTTCCGATATCACCTTCTTTCGAATATCAGCCTTGCTGTTGATAGCGACAGGCTTATTGAACACATAAGTGTTAGCGAGATTCGGATAGAAGAAGCGAGTATCATCAGGATCGGCCTTGCTCACAAGTTCGTACCCAAGAGCAATATTTACCTTAAAAGCATTAGCCTGGGTCGAAAGAACGTTCTCGAGCTTATCGTAGAAATGAGTAGCCTCGACACCCTCATATAGGTGTGATTCCATGTGATAACCAGTGTAAAAACGGTACTTGAATCAGCCTTATAGTCAGGCGACATATGCTTCTCAAGGGTTTCAGCTGAAACATTGTACTGCTTAGCCACCAATTGTTTGTTGACTGAACGTGAGCTGCTGCTAACATATACCATCTTACCAGCTCTACCTCGATCCTTAACCCTGTAGCTGCTACCCCATTTGACAGCTTGGATATTTAAATCTCTTTAATCCTGCGAGTTCGTATGCAAACATAATACCTATATATCTTCGTCTATATTAATCTCGTGAGAATCGACTTTATAATTATCGGATCTTGTATCAGGATCGACTTTATATTAGAGCTGACTTTATATCTGAGAAAAAAAAAATAAGCTAAGTTCGCTTTGGTTAAGTTCGGATTTATTTAAGTAATTCTTCTTCTTCTTACGAGTACAAATTTCTTTGCGATTCTTCTCATCATATTCTCGCTGCTTAGCCAGTCGCGTTTGACTTGTTTTAGCTTTGATTCGCTCTTTGTTAAGTTCGTATTGTTCAGGTGAGTACGTCATCTTTACAAACTTTATATTTATCAGGAATAAAATATTATGATAGAAGGCAAAGCTCCGCATTCATGACTTTTTATGCGCGTATTACTAATCTACATATCGCTTGCACCCCTGCGGCCTTACGGCGAACAGTATACCACGCTTTTCAAACAACTCCGGCATCCTTTGCCGCATTAAGCTTGTCGCTTGCTCTCTGCAATGAGGCCTTGGCTCCACATTTTTGTCAGCCTCCTCCAATCACCCGAAAGTCCGAGACTACCGACATTAAAAAGTGTGGACCCCATCGTGGAATTTCTCGGTCAGCAAAGCAACCAGTGAGAAAGAGCAGCGATGGAGGACAAGCAGAAACCTCACGAAGACGTCCTTACGCGACTCGTGCGCGACTTGGAAACGAAGACGACTTTGTGCTACGTCAAGGACTATCCTGGAGTGGAGCTGGAGCAGCTAAATGATCACGCGAAGAAGCTCGGTCCTTTGGCGAACCCCGTTTTTGGCGAGCAGCCGGCGTTCTTCATCGACGAAGGCCGCTTCTGTCCCTATCGAATGATCGTGTATGGCAATATGAAGGTAGCGGCCAAGATCGCTAGAGTTTTGGATGAATGGGCGACGTGGTCTGGAGAAGGAGGCAGAGTGACAACCTCGCAAGGGGCGTTCATTCTGGAGCAGCGTCCCGGAAAGCCCAACGTGAGAATGCCCGACGTGGCATACACACCGCGAGATGATGACAGGAATTTGACTCGTGAACAGATGTGGACGTATCGTGGCGATCCCTATGTCCCCACCTTTGTTGTTGAGATTGATGAGCTCTCTGGTCGAGGCTCTAAACTTAGCGCTCTTGATGGAAAGATGCGAAATGATTATTTCCAGCACGGCGTCCAGTTGGGTTGGCTGATCGACCCACGCCCAGACCTTCAGCGGATGTATGAGTACTATCTTGACGACAATGGAGACGTACAATGCTCTGACAACAGTGCGTGGAGAGATCTTGACGGTGGTGATGTGCTTCCTGGTTTCAAGATGCGCGCACCTGAGTTGGAAATGGTCTTGAACCAGGATTCGGGTTCGTCGTCAGAAGATGAAGTTGATCTGCTGTGTCCCTATCCAAGATGCAACAAGCGATTCCGTTCGTATGGTGCATGCGCTGCTCATGCCGAATGGCACCGTAAGGAGAGATCTATCTCGAAGTACTTAGCCAAGCGTGAGAACTTATAGTTATCCAATGTGAACTCATAGCATTCCAGTGTGGCAACTACGCTTCGACAAGTTCCTATCTAACCATATCGCAGAACTCAAAGCTTACAAATTAAAGCATAGTTGGCGACGAACTGATTTCTTATTCCTGATTGGTGGCTAAGAGAAGGTAATAATAAAATTATCTATTGTTTTATAAATATAGTTTGAATGTTGTCGGTCGAGCGAGTCTAAAGCTAAGCTTACCCCTAATATCCAAAAGACGTTGCTTTCGCTCTCAGGTGGTCTCTTGGTGGTAAATTACGGTAAGGAAAAAAAACTGCGGTGCAATGTTCCATTACCCACTACTTCCGTTAGGGTCGTGATGTCGGCGTTGTTCATGCGTACCATTTCTTCCAGTCCAGACTCGTCACGAGTTCCAATATCCCATGGATTGTACGGGATGATCACACGGACACCACGACGATGGAAGTCAGCGATGACGCCCTTGACGCCCTCGACTCCACCGGGAAGGCCTCGTAGGAGATCCCATTGGTTCCGGTTGTCCACACCGATGTTCGGGTATGAAGGCCAGATCAACACACTGTCAATGGGGCAACACGACTCTGCATCGCATCCACGTACTTGTCCACCGTGTATTGCTGGGTCTCGCGATCGTAGATGGAGCGGTCGTTCATCATAAGAAACGTCTGCACGAAATTCTGCTGCGTCCTTTGAGTTTGCTGGATGTTGTACATGTTGCACGAGTCTTTCGGGTTGTACCGGTTGGTGATCAGCTCCATTTCCTTCCAGGCGGTCCAGTCACGACGCCATGCGGCCACGGACTCGGGGCCATCGGACCGTTGATCACCTCGTAGCCGTCGGGTTGTTGATCCCAAGCGAGTGCTTGGCCGAAGAGGCAGCAGGCCGCGGACAGGTAAAGTCTGGTTAGAGCACGCATGGAGGGTTCGATGTGCGCGCAACGCAGGAACTTGAGGAATGACGCTTCAATTGCGAGGAGCCCTACTCAAAGATCGTCAAACGTAGCGCAGTACAGCCACGGAGCCAATCTGATTTGACATATTGAAAGCAAGTCTCAGCACCTGCACATCAAATCTCTGTCTGGAACAAGGACAGCTTGCGCTGCAAGTTGTAGCGCGATCCAAGTTTCTCTCCCCGCTATATACAGGAGCGGGCTTGAAGTCCGCAAATAAATGCACTATGCATGTAGGTTACGCACTTCGTTTATCTGTCCACCATGAGAACAACCGCGTGCTGGACATCGCACGATGGGGCTATATATACCAGAGGCCAGCGTGCTACGTAGGCGCAGAAATCCAGATCGAAGGTGGAGACGCAGTCCCGCTTGAAGCCTTGGTCGTCAGAGACATTTACACGATAACGCAAGCCAGACAAACTTCAGTCGAGAGTGCGTATGATGAGAGGTCAGCACGGGTACTGTATATGTAGTTAAATCGGGTGCCTAATGAATTTGATGCGTCACACTGTGAACGACGCAGCATGGATTTAAGTTTTTACGAGAACTGCAAACTATTTTTATAATAATAAAATATTAGTTTTAAGAATAGAAAGGGTTTATACTGCTCTGTGGTATAAAGCTTGGATGGAGTTGTGGTGGATGTAGCGTTGAACTCAACGGTAGCAGCACAAAATGCAGTTTCCGGTAGCCTAGTGCCAGAACAGTGCGTTGTCCCGGACTCGGCTGTGACTCCCTGGAGACCTGGCCTTCCGAATAATACATTGCAGTGAAAATAATATGGCAGTATTTGTATGGAATAATTTATTTTTCAGTTATGATGAAAACTTTCAGTAAAATATTTCCAGTAGCGCTATATTTATAAAACAATAGATTGTTTTTTTTTAATTATCTTCTCTTAGCCACCAATCAGGAATAAGAAATCAGTTCGCCGCCAACTATGCTTTAATTTGTAAGCTTTGAGTTCTGCGATATGGTTAGATAGGAACTTGTCGAAGCGTAGTTGCCACACTGGAATGCTATGAGTTCACATTGGATAACTATAAGTTCTCACGCTTGGCTAAGTACTTCGAGATAGATCTCTCCTTACGGTGCCATTCGGCATGAGCAGCGCATGCACCATACGAACGGAATCGCTTGTTGCATCTTGGATAGGGACACAGCAGATCAACTTCATCTTCTGACGACGAACCCGAATCCTGGTTCAAGACCATTTCCAACACAGGTGCGCGCATCTTGAAACCAGGAAGCACATCACCACCGTCAAGATCTCTCCACGCACTGTTGTCAGAGCATTGTACGTCTCCATTGTCGTCAAGATAGTACTCATACATCCGCTGAAGGTCTGGGCGTGGGTCGATCAGCCAACCCAACTGGACGCCGTGCTGGAAATAATCATTTCGCATCTTTCCATCAAGAGCGCTAAGTTTAGAGCCTCGACCAGAGAGCTCATCAATCTCAACAACAAAGGTGGGGACATAGGGATCGCCACGATACGTCCACATCTGTTCACGAGTCAAATTCCTGTCATCATCTCGCGGTGTGTATGCCACGTCGGGCATTCTCACGTTGGGCTTTCCGGGACGCTGCTCCAGAATGAACGCCCCTTGCGAGGTTGTCACTCTGCCTCCTTCTCCAGACCACGTCGCCCATTCATCCAAAACTCTAGCGATCTTGGCCGCTACCTTCATATTGCCATACACGATCATTCGATAGGGACAGAAGCGGCCTTCGTCGATGAAGAACGCCGGCTGCTCGCCAAAAACGGGGTTCGCCAAAGGACCGAGCTTCTTCGCGTGATCATTTAGCTGCTCCAGCTCCACTCCAGGATAGTCCTTGACGTAGCACAAAGTCGTCTTCGTTTCCAAGTCGCGCACGAGTCGCGTAAGGACGTCTTCGTGAGGTTTCTGCTTGTCCTCCATCGCTGCTCTTTCTCACTGGTTGCTTTGCTGACCGAGAAATTCCACGATGGGGTCCACACTTTTTAATGTCGGTAGTCTCGGACTTTCGGGTGATTGGAGGAGGCTGACAAAAATGTGGAGCCAAGGCCTCATTGCAGAGAGCAAGCGACAAGCTTAATGCGGCAAAGGATGCCGGAGTTGTTTGAAAAGCGTGGCATACTGTTCGCCGTAAGCCCGCAGGGGTGCAAGCGATATGTAGATTAGTAATACGCGCATAAAAAGTCATGAATGCGGAGCTTTGCCTTCTATTATAATATTTTATTCCTGATAAATATAAAGTTTGTAATTTACAAAGATGACGTACTCACCTGAACAATACGAACTTAACAAAGAGCGAATCCAAGCCGCATAAAAGCGGTACTTTCTAAAAACAAGTCAACTAAGCAGCGAGAATATGATGAGAAGAACCGCGAAGAAATTCGTACTCGTAAGAAGAAGAATTACTTAAATAAATCCGAACTTAACCAAAGCGAACTTAGCTAATTATTAAAAAAAATTCTCAGATATAAAGTCAGCCCTAATATAAAGTCGATCCTGATACAAGATCCGATAATTATAAAGTCGATTCTCACGAGATTAATATAGACGAAGATGTATAGGCAATATGTTTGCATACGAACTCGCAGGATTAAAGCGATTTAAATACTCAAGCTGTCAAATGGGGTAGCAGCTACCGAGTTAAGGTTCGAGGTAGAACTGGTAAGATGGTATATGTTAGCAACAGCTCACGTTCAGTCAACAAGAAATTGGTAGTACAATGTTTTAGTTGAAACCCTTGAGAAGCATATGTCGCCTGACTATAAGGATGATCCCAAGTACTGTTTTTACACTGGTTATCACATGGAATCACACCTATATGAGGGTGTCGAGGCTACTGATTTCTACGATAAGCTCGAGAACGTTCTTTCGACCCAGGCAAGTGCTTTTAAGGTAAATATTGCTCTTGGGTACGAACTTGTGAGCAAGACCGATCCTGATGATACTCGCTTCTTCTATCCGAATCTCGCTAACACTTATGTGTTCATTAAGCCTGTCGCTATCAACAGCAAGGCTGATATTCGAAAGAAGGTGATTTCGGAAATTCGGTCTATGGAGTTGGCTGACAAGCTGAACTACCCCCAGCTCTGGATATAAGCTAATGCAATCACTGCATTCAAGATTTTCGTCTACCATCGCGACCATGCTCTTGGAGACAGCGATGTTAGTCTTGGGGAAGTTGATTACATGCTTATTTTCGCGAGTATTCCTAAGGTTATTCGCGAAAATACGCATGCAATCAACTTCCTCACGGCTAACAACAAGTGCGTCTTCCACTGCATCGCCTGGCACACATTCCAGAGCACCAAGAAGGATCCTCGCAGAATCCAGGCTCAGGTGAAGGATGCATTCAAGCGCTACTGCTATTTTAAGGGAAATAAGTATACGTTGAGTCTATTTAGAAGCTTCAAGCCTATTGACCTACTACAGCTCGATGAGGTTGAGGCCTGCTTCCAACTCGGTATTAACGAATACAGCATGGATGTAGCTACCGAAAATGTTGAAAGAATTCGTAGGTCGGACAAGGGGTATGAAGCTATGGATATTCTATCACGCGAGAATCACGCTCTCTACATCAAGAGTATCGATATGCTCCAGTCTAAGTATCCGCGCCCCAAGTGTGAAATGATTTTCGTGAGTGGTGACAGACTTAAAAATCACATGAAAAACCAGTACGAGTATATGAATATTGAGAGCTTCCCCACTGAGCCAACTATACGCAAACCGGCTTAGAATACGATGCGATCGCTGCTTACGAAGTATTCTATCCAGGATGCTAACTATTACATCGATCGCTTCATCGTTTATGACTTTGAGGCCACTCTTAAACCTACCGCGACTCAACACGGGAATAATACTGTCTTTACGAACGAACACATTCCTGTGTCGGTATTAGTAGCTGATAGTTTAACCGAGGGGGTGCGTTGCTTTGTAAATGACGACCCCAAGATTTTGCTTATGAATATGTTCAAATACATTGGTGATGTATCGGCGAAGATCCAACAGTACAATGTCGATAGTATAAGTCGCTTCTGCAGAAAATCATCAATGCACATGGTCTGACAGGTATGGAAGTCCCAGGCGCTAATTCTGATAAAAACTACAAGATGTCGGATGTGAAGAGCTAGATTAAGGGAGGGAAGTATGATAACTTCTTCCACTTCCATATCAGTCTTGGTTTTGGTAAGCAAAGGTCTGATTATGGGAAACTGAAACAGCAGCTTGACCAGGTACCAGTATTCGGCTTCAATTCTGGTCACTACGATATTAACTTGATTAAGAAGGCTTTGTTTGCCGTAATTGGTACCGACAACATCAAATCTGTCATCAAACCCCCCAGCTACATGTGCATTGCTACATCAGACATGAAAATGATTTGAATCACTAACTATGTACCAGCTGGTACCAGCTACAAAACGTATATTACAGCATATCTCGGTGGCTGCAAATGCGATGCCAAAATTAGATGTGTCTGTGGTCATGGTAGGGGTATTTTCCCTTACGGGTACATTACCGCGTTCAATGTACTAAACCAGACGGCTATCCCGCCTATAGCAGCTTTTGATAGCAAGCTCCGTGGAACAAGCATTACCAGCGATGACTACGAACGAGTGAAATTCGCGCGGGATTACTACGAGATGAAATCGATTAAAGACCTACTGATCTGGTACAATAATCGGGACGTAGTCCCTTTCACCAAAGCTATCAAGGCTCAGCGAGAGCTATTTAAGCACTTCGATATCAAGGCTCAGCGAGAGCTATTTATGCGCTTCGATCTGGATGTGTTTGCGGATGGAGTGTCTCTACCTGGTCTTTCCGAGAAGATCATGTATCAGCCTGCTTCAATAATCTCCAATATCCGGATAAGAAACTTGCTAACGCATTCCAATTTCCAGCTAAACGCAGGGCTGGCTACAAGAGTCAGGATGCTAAGGCAAAACGAAATGTCGGTATGACACTCGAGCACGTGAATACATTGCTGCAAAAGCAAAATAATCTGTGTGATCTATGCTACTGTCAGCTGACTGCTGATACCGCTTCAGCGGATCGTATCAACAATAATGTTGGCCACATCGACGGTAATATCTTGGTCAACTGCGTTAAGTGCAACACCACTCGAAAAGACATGTCGCTTAAGGGGTTTCGGTATAAGAAGTGCTTGAGTTCAACTCGGACAGACTGGTCTACTCGATCGACAAGGAGGAGAAGGACATCTACTCTAAGACGAAGGCTAACATTGCTGGAGGTCCATCTATTATCTTCAATCGCTACGCTAAGCGTAATGAAACGAAGATTCGCGGTGGTAAGGTCTGTAAGAAAATTATCAGATACGATGCTAGCGCTCTATACATATGGGTCCTTGGTAATGGGATGCCATGCGGTCCATTGACTACGGTTGAAGCGTATGATGGTATCATCGATGATATCAAAGCAGACAAGGTACTCGGCTTTCTTGAGTGCGATATTCGAACACCAGAATACCTCAAACAGTACTTTGGTGAGATGACTCCAATTTTAAAGAATGTACTGATCGACTGTACGAATGAGAGCGTCATTGGTAAGCACATGTTCGTTCACAATGAGGCGCACAAGCAAAGCCGAGCAAAACCAGCTCGCAAGTGGATTGGTAGCTACTTTGGTGAAAAGATTCTTAATCCTGATGGGTTTGAAACTGTCGTATCGGATTACATCACGCTACAAGCTACAAACAAGGGCTATAGACTATCGACAAAACCAATTCTATTATCACCTACGCTCAAAACAAAACAGCGCTCAACTACTACTATGACAAACGTCAAGTACTTGCTGATAGTATCATGACTGAAGCACTTGATATTTAAGCAGGTAGCCACTGTTTTTTTTTTAAATTTAAATATAGATCATGGACGCGCTACTAAAGAATCTCTACTATGACTCCAAAACCGGTTTTATCGGAGCTCAAGCTCTGTATCAGAAGGCAAAGGAGTTACATTCTAAAATATCTTTCAAAATAGTAAAGGATTGGTATGGTAGTCAGACCAATATTCAACGATTTCAGGAGCAAAAGAATAAATCAATGGTTTCAAAATAGCTTCGCGTAACCCCAGCTCGTGGCAAATTGATCTTGCGTTTTGGGAGAAACAGCCTATTTAGACTGCTATCAGCACCAACCCAAGACTGGGGTACGCAAAGCTCTTACGAAACAAGACGACAGCAGCTGTGTTAGCAGCGCTTAAAGCGTTTGTTCGTCTCCACTAAGTTGATATCCTAACAATAGATAGTGGAAGCGAGTTCATGAATTCACAGGCTCAAAAACTTTTCCAAACTAAGAAAATTAAGCACTACAACAACGAACCCGGTGATCACGAAACCATGGGTAAGCTGGCTATGCAGCTGCTGACCATGAACTTCTACAGTTTGGGCACAATAATGACGAACAGAAAGGGGCTGTGCAAAGCAATTCTACCAAAGAAGACTAAAAACGGCAGGAAGGAATCAAAGAAGCGACCAGCACACATCGTCAAAGGAACGTATGACGTAGCCACCCTCCAAAAGGTGCCATCGATCAAGGCCGTCCGTTGGTGGGATAATCAAGCGGTGTATCTGCTTGCTGCTGGAGGAAGTGCAGTACCAGACCGTATCGTGCGTAGGAATCCAGTAGCTGGAGATCAGACAGAGTTGATGTGTCCACGGATCGTTAAAGACTATCAGACTTTCATGGGCGGAGTCGATGTTCACGACCAGTTGCGTCTACAACGGCAAGTATTCATATCCTGTATATACACGTTGAAGTCATCGTTTTAAAATGTATTGTACGTATTATTAGGTATTCACTGCAATTGGCTCGGCGCTACAAGAAGTACTACAAGTCTCACTTTCTGGGACTGATAGACATGGCTATCATCAATGCTTTCATCGTGCACAATTACCATCGCGCGGCAACCGGGAAGCCAAGGGTTTCCCACGTGACGTTTCTGAAGACGCTTCATCTACAGCTCTGTCAGTTGCTACCGGAAGATTGGGTGCAGCTTCTTCGCCACCGCAGGCATCACGCGACGCCTACGCGGGCACGACAAGCTCGAGCGGCGCAGATGCCTGTACAGGCCGACGAGTGGCGCAAAGAAAACTCCGATAAGACGAGAAAGCGTAGGCAGCGTGCGTGCAAGGTTTGTTCGGTGCTAAAAGGCGCTGCCACGTCTCGAGGAGGGGAAACGATATTCTTCTGTGCTGGATGTAAGCTGAAAACAACATCAAGACACGAGTTAGCCGCACGCGTATTCCTCTGCAACAAGGTGAAGCATTACAGCAAAGGCGAACCTACTTCGTGCTGGGATATCTGGCATAAACACTGGAAAAATGGGACTACGATCCCTCAATCAGGACGCAAGCGCAAAATTCGAGCCCGGAAGCCCGCACGCGCTGCAAGTGACGGTGGATCTGATGCCAGCGACTCGGAGTCGCAGTCTAGAGCTAAAATCGGAAGTGTTTCCTCTCAGGGTCGTTCGGGATGGCGGCCACACACCAACGATGACGGCAGCTAGTGAGATCGTCGTCAGAGCACATGTTCCGGCTTCAAAAATAACTTGATTTGAATAAATGGTTTTTGTGCAGATCGCCATGTGGAATCCTTCTCTAAATATCGACAAAAATATGACCCGTCACTCCCCGCTAGATGTGTTTTTGTACAAATGTTGTGTTGTCTTTGTTCACTCAGGACACGATATCAGCGTTATCGCGTACAGTGCAGACATGTTAGTATACCTGATACATGATATCGAGAAATGAAGACCCTAGGGGTGGGGCGCTGTACCGACTCTGTTAAATACACGATAAAATATAGCTGGGTCTTACTATTGTAACCCACTATCCATAACGTGTATGGGGTTTCGGTAAATAGGCGCAACGAAATCCGCTCGCTTTGGGGGGGGGGGTAAAAGTCCAGAAGTTTAACTCGTCGTCTGAAGAGATGTCGCTGATAAAATGACCGATAAGTCGCAGTTCATGCTTTTCTATAGAGTTGCCGGCTTGACTTTGTTTGGCTTCGCCACATTCGGTAGCATGAGTCGGCGTCAAAAAGTGAGCTCGCTTGAATCCATTCTTGATTGTCGTGGCCGAAACTTTCCCAGCTCGAGCAAACCCACTCACATACTTAGGCTCGTGTAGGCGCCCGAAACGTGAATGCGTGTAACAGGAACACCTTCTTTTCTTAGCAAATTGATCCACTGAACAATTGCAGCCTCCTCTTCCTTTGGTAGAATTGTTGCGATTCCTGGCGCCCGAACATACTCATGTCTGCTATTGAAGCAGTCTTGCAGCGTTCTTCGAGCACCCGCACATCGTTCTTGCACTGATAAATCAATTTCCTCCTCTGCTCTTTAGCGTGATCATTTAGGCTAGGACAGAAATTAGCCAGAGTTGCCTGAACATCCTCACATTGGATGAAGCGCCGTGCTACTTCTAACTTGTGGCGGTTGGTGAAGCTCGTTCGGCTGTGCTTGGGCTTCTTGCGCCATGCACCGGTCGTTTTTGGGCGGCCTTGTTTGCTGGGGCATCTTCGTTGAATGTGAAATGGATTTATTTTCTGCACCGCACTCAACCTGTCTGTAAGCACATAAATCGCTACGTACTCCGAATTCAACCGAATCATCTTATCAGTGGCAAAGTAGTTGTGGCTTTGGAATATGGTTGAGAGTTTAAAGTGTCGTCCATGTGTATAGTAATGAGAGAAGATATTCTTCTGAAGTAGTTTATCATTGCCATAGTCATCGATGATAACAAGCTCCGGTTTGTTGGAGCTTAATGGCGTATGACGCACCTGATCTACTTTAAGAGGGCTATCTGTGTCAGCAAATGTGATAAATTCTTCCAGCTTTTCCCGGAGATACTCCTAAAGCTGATGGGATTAGCTTTGATGGGGATTACGCGCAACGATAGTTAGATGAGCAAATACGTGAGGCGACTGCTTGAGAATAAACATACAAACATTGTTCTTCTTTTTCCTTCGGCTTGGACCGAGCACAGCCATTCTAAACAAAGCTTTCTTTTCCAATGCGGGGATATCACTCATCGAAGCAGACTTAATTTTTTTCGGAATCGCAGCCCCGAAGTCAGAAATAGCACTCATGACTAAAAATCGTTTGATCTATAAAGGATTAAACAAAATGAGTTCCGGTTTTTCATATCCACAGTCTACATTTCAATCATCCATTTATAATCCTTCATTCTTTCTTTCGTTAGACTCGAGTGGTTATCTAACATACGATTATGCGCAGACCTATATTTGAGCAAGGATGATTACAGGATGGACTACCTTAGCGGAGTAATAGCGGGAGCTGCTTTCGTACAGCAAGGCTTTGATTCTCGATTCGTCCGGCAATATCAGCGGAATTAACAGCTTTGGAGCTTCTAATATTACTGGAACGTTACAAACCAGATCCCAACCCAAAATAACGTCTCTCGGCTCTTTATCGGGTCTTACGATCGATGGAAATTTATCGTTCAGTGGATTATCGCGCTCGATATCGATAACAGGCATTTCAAGCTACATCGATTGTCGAGAATATCGCCAGAATACGATTAGTGACTTCTTGAATACATAAACGGAGTTAGTTTTGGTACCGCAACGCCAAATAAGTTCCTATTACGCGACCCAAGCTCGAATATCGGAGGCCTCAGCTCGGTAACGGCTACTACTCTGACCTGCACGGACTTGCGCCAGGGCTCGACGTACTATGACCTATCACGTTTTTTAACATCTATACCGACTTCCCTCTCGCTCAATAATCTGTCAACGAGTGGGGATATCAGCTGCTCCGGCGTTATCAATGAGTTTTTAGCGTATGGAAACCAATGTTATATAACAGCAGTAGGATCGCTGACAGAGCTTGGGATCAACTCTACAGCAACGAATCAATATTTCTTGATCACTGATAGTGGATTGGAGGTTCTTGCACACGAATGATGACTCTTACCGGGTCGAATACGAATCCTGTTCAATTTCAAGTCCAAGTCCATAATGGCAATCGATCAACCACAGCGAACGCGTCATGGATCGGGAACATCACAAAACCGACCTCAGATTTGGGGTCAATAACTCGACGTCGATGATTCTAACTACCACAGGTCGTCTTGGTCTTGGTACGGCAAGTCCTTCAGCTCCGCTGCACGTCCCTGGCAGCAACCGTTTTGTTTTTGGAGCAGGCGGAACGACAGTGTATCGCCTCAGAACAGATAGTGGAGCTACAGAATCCGCTCTTGGCCCGATCACATATTCAGTAGCGGGAATATTCGGAGTATACATTGCCTGTACAGCCATGACGATGACGAGTGACCGCAGATTGAAGTGGAAAAATCAATCGTGTCCGCTCGAACGCATCAAAAGACTCTACGATAATTGTGATGTAGTTTTGTATGACTGGATTGAATCAGAAAATAGACCTGGTGAAGAGGTGGGCCTCGTAGCTCAAGACCTTGTCTCAGCCCACCTAACCGATTTAATCAGTGTTTTCTATCGTGAGGATATTCAGGAAGGCGAAGTCCCATCGTTTGAACCAGCCAAAACACAGCTTAACGTTGATTACAGTCGAATTGCAGCATACAATATGAAAATGATTTAACATCTCTTGGATCGAATTGAGGACTTGGAAGCAAAACTATCATCTCTAATACAGACCATGCCGTTCACATTTTGTATTTCGATGAGAAAAGACAAGAAATATGATGTTGTGTTTGATGATGGTCGAGTTGTATCTTTTGGTGGTATTAAGCGGAATGGTGACTCTTATCAACAGTATCGAGACATCACGCCATTGAGAGCATTCAGTAAGTACGACCATGGTAATATTGAACGTAAACAGCCATGGACCTATCGATACTTCGAAACCATACACCGCTTCTTGGTTTCAAAAACGTTTATTTGGTAACGTATAGACCACAGTCCTAATAAACATGGGTTGCGGACCAAGCAAAAAGCTAAAAACGAATTTAACAACTGATGAACCAGGTCAAATCGTTGAACCAACACTTCTGCGGGCCGATCAAATTGTGGCTCTGGGAGATAGCGTTTTCCTACCTACGAAAAATGATAAAGGAGAGTCAGCTATCGTAGAGATATCAGTGAATAAAAAAAATAGAGATTTACAAGGGATACAAGAATCGCCTTGTAAGAGAAGGGATTTCTCCTTAAAGAACTGACGTTAAATAGCAAAGGTCTTCACAGTTTTATGTTTTTTCTTTCTTGTATAAGCCCATCCTCTTCCTCCCTCGGTCTGAGTCGATGCATTAACCTTCTTTATGGACTTATCAAGGTCAGCAGCCCAAACAGCTGCCTGAGTCTTCTGTGGGCGGTCATGAATGATGAGGTTTTTCATGATAGATTTTAGCTCGGCTTTGTTGATCCGCGTTGTCTCCTTAGCTACCTGCTGAGCTGGAAATAATTCGGCGGCTGAAAAAGTAACATGTTTCTATAGTAGTCGCGTAATAATGTCCTTGAACTCTTTATCATCAATCATTCGATTGCTGTACATATCCACACTAAGCGATTTAAGTTGCTTAACGATTGAAAGATTATCATTACCGAGTTCGAGCTCATCTTTTAGCTTAGCATTTTCAGCTTTTAGAGCTTCTAACGGATTCTCAACCCGATCATGGAAATTGTACGGAAGATGCGTAATCGCGAGAATCTCCTCGAAAAGCTTTTTATTATCGATACTGAGCTTGTCGTACTCTGTCTGATCGATATGCTGCTTGAAGGCGAGAGTTCGAATCATTGACTGTAGCGGATCACTGATTACGCGCTTTGGTCCGCACTTGCGTCGATTCGGCTGAACAATGACCAGAGTTTTGTTATCAAGATTGGGGATCCGAATGTACTTCGAACCGAGCTGACGATAGATGTATGCGGATGGGGTGGCTATACCTTGGATCTCGTTGAGGTTGTATGTTCTCCCGCGAAGGACAACCCCTTCAAGCGGGGCGACACCAGCACCTCTTAACCCACGACCCTGAAGCTTCCGCTAAACCCTGACCACACGCCTGTCGGCTTTACCTGATCAACCATGTTATTCACAGTTTGGCGAGCTGTGTGCTCATCTTGTCTATCACTGAATTGATCAACCTCGGTGTAGTTTTTAGCATCGAAGAAGCCTTTAGTCTTGATTTGGTAGACAGCCTTGGTCGCTTTCATGTCAGCGGTTGCCGCCTTCAACGCTGACCTGGCAGGGTATAAGTTATTACCCTTTAGGGCTCGCCTCTTCTCATCATATTTCCTCTGATCTTCGCCATACTTCAAGAATGCAGCTTTTGAGTCATCGTGGAGTTTTTGCAAAGTGGCATCGCGATACTGAGTACCCTGAGAGGATTTGATTCGAGCTGATGTATTTGTCGATTTTGTATTGTCGAGGATGGCTCAATTCTATAGCTGAAGATTGGCTTTGAGATTTGTTTTCAATGGTGGATCGTCATTCTCATAACCATAACATAAAATCTCCGACCTCCGACAACCTCCGACCGTAACAAAAGCAGTCCATAATTGTATTCAAGTTATGTATTTGTGTACTAGTTGTGTAAAAAGCTTAGGGGATCAGGTTTTGGGATAGGCGAGGCCAGAAATATGTTTGTAGCGAGTTTGTAGCGAGTTTGTAGCCGCAATCTTAGGCTCTGAAACGGCCTGTGGGCTGAGAAAATCAAGAAAAGGTAAAAAAAAAAAAAACCATCAAATTGGGCCGGAGGCAGGTAAATTCACTAATGAGTCCATGATTTTCGTGGCGGAGTCCACTATTAAGAGCATGATCATGACCAGTCGCTGCTGTGTATCCCTATTGGTAGAAATATCTACCAATTAAACAGAAATATCTACCAATTTAACATGCCCACGCATAAGTGGATGGACACGTGGCTAGCTGTGGCCAGCAGCCACAGAAAGGTGAAGACGGCCACAGTAGCTCTTCGGTTCGGCCTACGAAGAGGGGGAATTGCCAGTCGTCTTTTTTTCAGGCGGAGACGTCCCAGCCCGACTCGTCGCGGATTAGCCCTGCGGATAGCCGCCTCAACCTCCAATCCCTCCCCCCGACGACGTAGCTCACCGGAAGAGCCCAGGGCTTGCCCTGAGGTAGCTGGTTCAACTCCAGCCGCCGTCATCATCCCAGAGGTGGAAGCACGCCGCGTGCTGCAGCCATGGATCGTGTACGGCGTGCCAATGCTGCTGCGTGCTTTGTAGGGATCTAGCGTGTCTTGTGCGCGTTGTTGGTGCCATGATTTCGATGACGAATAGTTTGCTAATCGACTTTGTTTTAGTAAACACTGGCTTGACTCTTCCACGATCAATACCAAATACACTAATTGATGAACCATGAATCCACACGTATCCAGTTCTATCCATCTGAGATGGTTTACCCAGGCTCTTGAGGATAGGGATGATTTTCTTTTTCAAGCCAGCCGATTCAAGCACTGCCTTATTCTTGAAAATAGACCAAAGCAATCGATTCTTACTATCAACGTGATCTAATGAGGTTGAAGTCGATGTGTCAAACTCGAAGTTGAATGCATTATCACCTTCGATTGGATCTGCGATTTTTCGTTTTCGCGTTCGTGAAACGTGATAAAGAGGGTCTTCAAGTCTCATATAACTGCTCCCATCGATTGATTTACTTTTGCCATCATACCAGATGTTCCAAATCTTCTCCTCTGTAGCCACCCAGTCAATACATTGACACGTTTTACTCTTTCTACCCGTTTTGTCTGCAATTAATGACCCCTTTTCACCAATGAAGTATCTATTGTCATCCTTACCCGTTTTACGCTTAATTGGCTTAATTCGAAGCGCCACCCAATTAGGATTGGCGTTAACAAATTCTTAACCCATGATCGCGCCTCCACTTGATCTTCGCAATCCATGTTTTTCATGTTTTTTTAGCATCTAGCGTTCTTGGAGTATTGCCGATTCCAAAATCATCTGTTTGCTGTGTGTTATCGATTCAAACACCAGATGTTTGAGGTCTCGCTTGAATATATCTATCAGTTTGGTCAACACGATCCGTATTGTTTTAGCTATCTACCATCTGCACGCCGCTATCTACTCCAACATCGATCATCACAGGTCGAACATTTGGAGTTGAGACCTTAGGGTTTGTTTGGACGTATCCATCAATCAGTGTTTTTTAATGAATCAGCAGACTCGGATGAGTCGATCTGAGCTGATTCGGTTCATTTCTTCCGGGACTGTAGTACTCCCATTCGTGATATCACTTGCCCACGAAGCACCTTCGGACATCTCTCGCTTGGCTTTAGCTTGTCGAACGTGGCGCTGAACGTTTTCAAGAAGCTCCTGCCCTTTTTGCTCTCTCTGGGCGAGCGATGTAAAATTTGGAAATATTGTGTCTATATCAAACGAATCATAAATCATGAAATGAGCAGCCTTAAATACTCTTACCATAGCTCAGCATAACTGAGTCATGACGAAAGGTTAGATACGAATGACAGATATGATTTCGCTCATTTAGACGTTTTAGATAATGATCCTTAATGTAATTGAATGGAACTCCAAAAAATTCTTCCAAGTCATGGCGATACTTACGATTTACTACTGTTCTGCGGAAATTCGCGGCTGCATCAAGATTCAGCAACTCATTCTTGATTCAACTCACCTCCTGAATAACCCAAAGCTTACGTATAAGCTTAACAAGCTCACGTTCTTTCTCTACACAAATTGGGCACATTACTATCTTATTGCTATGTATTAAGTCAGATATTTCCCAAAAAGCTCAGATAAAAATTGAGATTATATACTTGAGTCAAAATCTTACAGAGGATTTCTCTATCAAATTTATTTACAAGCTAATTATGACTTTCTTTTGTGGCGCGAGGTGAAACTACGTCAGCTTTTTCTTGAGACCCAATACTCCTTTTCAAGCGTTGATCTCCTGTTTATGCTGACCAGTCGCAGATTAACGTGTGGCTCCCAGGAGTCAGGTTCATCGCCAACCCATCTCACCAGATAATTGTACTTTCCAGAGCGTATCGTTTTGTGACCCAAGATCTTCTCCGCCTCAAGAATATCGCCTCGATTAATAGTAGCATATGTAGTCTCTGTTTTAACCATTTTAAGATCATTTGACGCCTTGTAGATGGTATCCTCATTTCTCGAACGGATTTTGACTCGGTAACCATCATTTCAAACGATTTTTTAGACTGCTTTGCTCCATCGAGCAGCTTCTTTGCTTTTTGAGACGGTATAAGACGCTTGATCCGACGTCAAACTCCATCTCAATTAGTTCGGCTTCCACCTGATTATGACTTAGATCTGCATCTATTACTTGCCTTTTGCCTCATTTGGGGTCATACCAATCGAACGATGAAACGTGGTATTGTGGTTTTTGATAACATCAGTGATAAGCTTTTGCGTAATTCTTTTAGGGGGACAGTTTAGTTGGTCTCTACTTTAAGGTCCTGTTGAATCGCTCGATTTTACCCATGGTTTCGTGATCACCGGGTTCGTTGTTGTACTGCTTAATTTTCTTAGTTTGGAATTTCTTCTGAGCCTGTGAGCTCATGAACTCGCTTCCATGATCTCTTGTTAGGATATTAACTTTGTGGAGACGAACAAACGCTTTAAGCGCTGCTAACACAGCTGCTACCGTCTTGATTCGTAAGAGCTTTGCGTACCCCAGCCTTGAGTTGATGTTGTTAGCAGTCAAAATAGGCCGTTTCTCCCAAAACGCAAGATCAATTTGCCACGAGCTGGGATTATGCGAAGCTATTTTGAAACCATTGAATCTATTCTTTTGCTCCTGAAATCGTTGAATATAGGCCTGACTCCCATACCGCGCCTTTACTATTTGAAGGTTATCTTAGAGTTTTACTCCTTTGCCGTCTGATACAGAGCTTGAGCTCCGATAAAACCGGTTTTGGAGTCATAGTAGAGATTCTTTAGTAGCGCGTCAATGATCTATATTTAAATTTAAAAAAAAACAGTGGCTACCTGCTTAAATATCAAGTGCTTCAGTCGTGATACTATCATCAAGTACTCGACGTTTGTCATAGTAGTAGTTGAGCGCTGTTTTGTTTTGGGTGTAGGTGATAATAGACTTGGTTTCTTTCAATAGTCTATAGCCCTTGTGTGTACCTTGTAGCGTGATGCGATCCCATACGACAGTCTCAAACCCATCCGGATTTAGAATTTTTTCACCAAAGTAGCTACCAATCAACTTGCGGGCTGGTTTTGCTCGTATTTGCTTGTGCGCCTCATTGTGATCGAACATGTACTTACCGCGGCTTCCACTGCATCGCGTAGCACATTTTGCAGAGCACCAAGAAGGTTCTTCAGCAGGATACAGGCTCAGGTGAGGGATGAATTCAAGCGCCTGCTATTTAAAGAGGATTAAGTATACGTTGAGTCTATTTAGAAGCTTCAAGCCTAATGACCTACTACAGCTAGATGAGGTTGAGGACTGCTTCCAGCTCGGTATTTACGTATACAGCATGGATGTAGCTACCGGAAATGTTGAAACATTCGTAGGTCGGACAATGGGTATGAAGCTATGAATATTCTATCACACGAGAATCTTGCTCTCTACATCAAGAACATCGATATGCTTCAGTCAAAGTATCAGTGCGCCAAGTGTGAAATGATTTTCGTGATTGGTAAAAGATTTAAAAATCACAAGAAAAACCAGTACGAGTATATGAATATTGAGGGCTTCCCCACTGAGCCAACTATATACAAACCGGCTTAGAACACGATACGATCGCTGCTTACGAAGTATTCCATCAAGGATGCTGACCATTACATCGATCACTTCAGCGTTAATGACTTTGAGGCCATTCTGAAACCTACCGCGACTCAACACGGGAATAATACTGTCTTTACGAACGAACACATTCCTGTGTCGGTATTAGTAGCTGATAGTTTAACCGAGGGGGTGCGTTGCTTTGTAAATGACGACCCCAAGATTTTGCTTATGAATATGTTCAAATCCATTGGTGATGTATCGGCGAAGATCCAACAGTACAATGTCGATAAGTATAAGTCGCTTCTGCAGAAAATCATCAATGCACATGGTCTGACAGGTATGGAAGTCCCAGGTGCTAATTCTGATAAAAAGTACAAGATGTCGGATGTGGAGAGCTGGATAAACGGAGGGAGGATATGTTAACTTCTTCCACTTCCATATCAGTCTTGGTTTTAGTAAACAAAGGTCTGATTATGGGAAACTGAAACAGCAGCTTGACCAGGTACCAGTTCGGCTTCAATTCTGGTCGATACGATATTAACTTGATTAAGAAGGATTTGTTCTCCGTAATTGGTATCGACAACCAAAAATCTGTCATCAGAACCCCCAGCTACATGTGCATTGCTACAGCGGACATGAAAATGATTGATATCACTAACTATGTACCAGCTGGTACCAGCTACAAAAAGAATCTTACAACATATCTCGGTGGCTGCAAATGCGATGACAAAATTAGATGTGTCCGTGGTCATGGTAGGGGTATTTTCCTTACGAGTACATCACCGCGTTCAATGTACTAAACCAGACGGCTATCCCGCCTATGTCAGCTTTTGATAGCAAGCTCCGTGAAACAAGCATCACCAGCGATGACTACGAACGAGTGAAATTCGTGTGGGATTACTACGAGATGAAATCGATCAAAGTCCTACTGATCTGGTACAATAATTTCGACGTAGTTACTTTCACCAAAGCTATCAAGGCTCAGCGAGGGCTATTTATGCGCTTCGATATCAAGGCTCAGCGAGAGCTATTTAAGCGCTTCGATCTGGATGTGTTTGCAGATGGAGTGTCTCTACCTGGTCTTTCAGAGAAGGTCATGTATCAGACCGGCTTCAATAATCTCCAGTATCCGGATAAGAAACCTGCTAACGCATTCCAATTTCCAGCTAAGCGCATGTCTGGCTACAAGAGTCAGGATGCTAAGGCAAAACGAAATTTCGGTATGACACTCGAGCACGTGAACACATTGCTGCAAAAGCAAAAGTATCTGTGTGATCTATGCAACTGTCAGCTGACTGCTGATACCGCTTCAGCGGATCGTATCAACATTAATGTTGGCCACATCGACAGTAATATCTTGGTCAGCTGCGCTAAGTGCAACACCGCTCGAAAAGACATGTCGCTTAAGGGGTTTCGGTTTAAGAAGTTGCTTGAGTTCAACTCGGATAGACTGGTCTACGCGATCGACAAGGAGGAGAAGAATATCTACTCTAAGATGAAGGCCAACAATACTGGAGGTCCATCTATTATCTTCAATCGCTACGCTAAGCTTAATGAAACGAAGATTCACGGTGGTAAGGTCTGTAAGAAAGGTATCGGATACGACGCTAACGCTCTATACCTATGGATCCTTGGTAATGAGATGCCATGCGGTCGATTGACTACGGTTGAAGCGTATGATGGTATAATCGATGACATCAAATCAGACAAGGTATTCGGCTTTCTTGTGTGTGATTGTTGAACACCAGAACACCTCAAACAGTACTTTGGTGAGATGGCTCCAATTTTCAAGAATGTACTGATCGACTGTACGAATGACTTCTTGTTAGTCTTGGGGAAGTTGATTACATGCTTATTTTCGTGAATAGCCTTAGGAATTACAGATTCGCTATCTCCAAGAGCATGGTCGCGATGGTAGACAAAAATCTTGAATGCAGTGATCGTCTTTAGCTTATATCCAGAGCTGGGGTAGCTCAGCTTGTCAGCCAACTCCGTAGACCGACTATCCGAAATCACCTTCTTTCGAATATCAGCCTTGCTGCTGATAGCGACAGGCTTATTGAACACATAAGTGTTAGCGAGATTCGGATAGAAGTAGCGAGTATCATCAGGATCGGTCTTACTCACAAGTTCGTACCCAAGAGCAATATGTACCTTAAAAGCACTTGGCTGGTTCGAAAGAACGTTCTCGAGCTTATCGTAGAAATCAGTTGCATCGATACGCTCATATAGGTGTGATTCCCAGATTAAACACGGTACTTGTGATCAGCCTTATAGTCAGGCGGCATATGCTTCTCAAGGGTTTCAACTGAAAAATTGTACTGCTTAGCCACCAATTTCTTGTTGACTGAACGTGAGCTGTTGCTAACATATACCATCTTACCAGTTCTACCTCGAACCTTAACCCTGTAGCTGCTACCCCATTTGACAGCTTGGATATTTAAATCTCTTTAATCCTGCGAGTTGGTATGCAAACATATTGCCTATATATCTTCGTCTATATTAATCTCGTGAGAATCGACTTTATAATTATCGGATCTTGTATCAGGATCGACTTTATATTAGAGCTGACTTTATATCTGAGAAAAAAATTAAATAATCAGCTAAGTTCGCTTTGGTTAAGTTCGGATTTATTTAAGTAATTCTTCTTCTTACGAGCACGGATTTCTTCGCGATTCTTCTCATCATATTATCGCTGCTTAGCCAGTCGCGTTTGACTTGTTTTTAGATAGTACCGCTTTTATACGGCTTTGATTCGCTTTGTTAAGTTCGTATTGTTCAGGTGAGTACGTCATCTTTGTAAATTACTATTTATCAGTAATAAAATATTAAAATAGAAGGTAAAGCTCCGCATTCATTACTTTTTATGCCTACTTCGAAGCTTATTACTAATCTACATATCGCTTGCACCCCTGCGGTCTTACGGCGAGCAGTATGCCACGCTTTTCAAACAGCTCCGGCATCCTTTGCCGCATTAAGCTTGTCGCTTGCTCTCTGCAATGAGGCCTTGGCTCCACATTTTTGTCAGTCACCCGAAAGTCAGACGACTACCGACCTTGAAAAGTGTTGACCACATCGTGTAATTTCTTGGTCAACAAAGCAACCAGTGAGAAAAAGCAGCGATGGCGGACAAGCAAAAACCTCACGAAGACGTCCTTACGCGACTCGTGCGCGACTTGGAAACGAAGACGACTTTGTGCTACGTCAAGGACTATCCTGGAGTGGAGCTGGAGCAGCTAAATAATCACGCGAAGAAGCTCGGTCCTTTGGTGAACCCCGTTTTTGGCGAGCAGCCGGCGTTCTTCATCGACGAAGGCCGCTTCTGTCCCTATCGAATTGTCGTGTATGGCAATGAGAAGGTGGCGGCCAAGATCGCAGAGCTCCTCGGAAATTGGGCAAAGTGGTCTGGAGAAGGAGGCAGAGTGACAACCTCGCAAGGGGCGTTCATTCTGGAGCAGCGTCCCCCAAAGCCCAACGTGAGAATGCCCGACGTGGCATACACACCGCGAGATGATGACAGGAATTTGACTCGTGAGCAGATGTGGACGTATCGTGGTGAACCCTTTGTCCCCACCTTTGTTGTTGAGATTGATAAGCTGTCTGGTCGAAGCTCTAAACTCAGCGCTCTTGATCGAAAGATGCGAAATGAATATTTCCAGCACGGCGTCCAGTTGGGTTGGCTGATCGACCCATGCCCAGACCTTCAGCGGATGTATGAGTACTATCTCGACGACAATGGAGACGTACAATGCTCTAACAACAGTGCGTGGAGAGATCTTGACGGTGGTGATGTGCTTCCTGGTTTTAAAATGCGCGCACCTGTGTTGGAAATGGTCTTGAACCAGGATTCGGGTTCGTCGTCAGAAGATGAAGTTGATCTGCTGTGTCCCGCTCCACGATGCAACAAGCGATTCGGATCGTATGGTGCATCCGCTGCTCATGCCGAATGGCACCGTGAGGAGAGATCTATCTCGAAGTACTTAGCCAAGCTTGAGAACTCATAGTTATCCAGTGTGAACTCCTAGCCATCCAGTGTGGCAACTACGCTTCGACAAGTTTCTATCTAACCATATCGCAGAATTCAAAGCTTACGATCTAAAGCATAGTTGGCGGCGCTGACTGATTTCTTATTCCTGATTGGTGGCTAAGAGAAGATAATAATAAAATTATCTATTGTTTTATAAATATAGTTTGAATGTTGTCGGTCGAGCGAGTCTAAAGCTAAGCTTACCCTAATATCCAAAAGACGTTGCTTTCGCTCTCAGGTGGTCTCTTGGTGGTAAATTACGGTAAGGAAAAAAAAACTGCGATGCAATGTTCCATTACCCACTACTTCCGTTAGGGTCGTGATGTCGGCGTTGTACATGCGTACCATTTCTTCCATTCCAGACTCGTCACGAGTTCCAATATCCCATGTATTGTACGGGATGATCACTCGGACACCTCGACGATAGAAGTCAGCGATGACGCCCTTGACGCCCTCGACTCCACCGGGAAGGTCTCGTAGGAGATCCCATTGGTTCCGGCTGTCCACACCGATGTTCGGGTATGCAGGCCAGATCAACACACTGTCAATGGGGTCAACACGACTCTGCATCTCATCCACGTACTTGTCCACCGTGTATTGCTGGGTCTCGCGATCGTAGATGGAGCGGTCGTTCATCATAAGAAACGTCTGCACGAAATTCTGCTGCGTCCATTGAGTTTGCTGGATGTTGTACACGTTGCACGAGTCTTTCGGGTTGTACCGGTTGGTGATCAGCTCCATTTTCTTCCAGGCGGTCCAGTCACGACGTCATGCGTCCACGGACTCGGGGCCGGTAGATTCCCAAATGGTATGTATGCGGAACTGATCAGATTCTAGATCAGATATTTATCTTACTGGAGATCTGACATGGGATCTGAAAATGATTGGTAAGTTCACGCACTTCTTCAGCCTCGAGGCTGCTTATGCGTTGGTCAGTCGAGAAGATGAATCGAGAGGCAAACGAGGGCGATTCGGTGGATGCCGACGTGGAGCCTGCTGAGCCGGCTGAGGGCGCGCCGGAGGATGGCGAAGTGGAGCCAGCTGAGCCGGTCGAGGACGTCGTTAGCACTGAGTTGCTGTTCGAGCAAGCTCGACAGCAACTCGCAAATGATGTGGGGTCTGTGCCACGACGTGGTGAGATGACGACATGCTTCTACAAGGGCTATAAGTACTGCAAGGCATGGTCGTCCTCAAGGAAAATTGTGTACAGATGCTCTAAGTTTCGCCAAGGTTGCAGAGGAAGCTGGAGTTTACTATTGCATCGATGGCGTATGCTGCTGTAAAGCTGCACACATGCCGCATTGAAGCCATTGCCAACGTCGTCATCAACGTTGAGGACCAGATGAAAGCTCAAGCCGACCTTCTTGCGATTGAGCACGTCGCTTGGCCTGTGCGCCAAGTGTGGGAAGAATTGCGACGCCAGTTCTACTCAGCTGACAATCCCAACGTTGTTCGTGGGTGGTCAGAGCAACAAGTTGTCCGACGAGTACACCGAGCAAGAAGCGCGCATTACTCTAGCAATGTTCACGGCTCTATTGAAATTCCACCGCTTTCATTGGCACTAGACGAGGAGCTTTCCTTTTTCCAGTTTCACTACGTCACCATTAACCGCAACGATTTGAACAAGCCTTCCCGCTTGCTTGGGTGGGCGCATCCATCTCTGGTCGCGCTACTACGCTATCATGGTACGACGTTGTTTGTGGATAGCACTTTTCGGTGTGTCCCGCAGGGTTACGCACAGTGCGTTGTGTTCATGGTCCACGACCGAGTCTCTGGAGTGTTCGTGCCGGTGTTCTACATTCTGAGCACCTCGCGTACTGGCGACGCCTACTGGGATATGATTCATTTTATCGTACAATCAACGGACCAGCAACTCGAACCGGCCGAAATTGTTTGTGACTTCGAAGCGCCACTGTTGGACGCACTACAAACACGGTTTCCGAACGCAATTATGTTGGGGTGCTTGTTTCATCTGAAACAAGCACTCCGACGGGCTATGAAGCGCTATGCTATTCCGGAGGAAGAGTGTCTGATTGCAATGACACGTGGTGTCCTAGACACCCTGACGGTGATTGATCCTGCTCACATCGAGCGAGGTATTAAGTGGGTAAAGCGTGAGATCAAGTTGCGCTGTGCTCAAGCTGGCGTGACCTACTCTACTGAAAAATGGGCCGATTTTTGGGGGTATTTCAACCCGCACTTGGCTGGAGCAGTATACCATCGATATCTGGAACGTATTCGGCATGAACAACGAGTTGGTCGCACGAACGAATAATCCCCTGGAGAGGTTTAACAGGGAGCTTAATACACGTTTCCCAACCCCGCATCCTTCAATGGCGACATTTGTGACGGTGATCAAGGCTATATCAGCTGAGTACGTACGCCGCGTGGCTGATGTTCCTCGTGGGCGAGCCCTCGCGAGGTCATTCAGCTACCACAGGTTGTGGACATCCCCTCTGACGTTGACAGCGACGTGGATCCTCCACTGGAGGAACCGGAGGCAGTTGCTACACCCGCAGCGGACGGTAGTACACTCACTAGTGCTACGTTGTAGATATGTCCGTGTAGCAACCAGAATACCTCGGTAAATGCTTCATCTTCTCCCTTTTAAAAGTGTTTTTCTTTGGTTTCAGTCTGTTCATAATTCAGGTCTCAAATCCTGATCTTTAATCCGATCAGTTCCGAATACGTACCTTTTCGGAGCTAACCTCGGGGCCATCGGGACCGTCGATCACCTCGTAGCCGTCGGGTTGTTGATCCCAAGCGAGTGCTTGGCCGAAGAGGCTGCAGGCCGCGGACAGGTAAAGTCCGGTTAGAGCACGCATGGAGGGTTCGATGTGCGCGCGACGCAGGAACTTGAGGAATGACGCTTCGATTGCGAGGAGCCCTACTCAAAGATCGTCAAACGTAGCGCTGCACAGCCACGGAGCCAATCTAATTGGACATATTGAACGCAAGTCTCAGCACCTGCACATCAAATCTCCGTCTGGAACAAGGACAGCTTCCGCTGCAAGTTGAAGCGCGATCCAAGCTTCTCTCCCCGCTATATACAGGAGCGGGCTTGAAGTCCGCAAATAAATGCACTACGTAGGCGCAGAAATCCAGATCGAAGGGGGAGATGCAGTCCCGCTTAAAGCCTTGGTCGTCAGAGACATTTACACGATAACGCAAGCCAGACAAACTTAAGTCGAGAGTGCGTATGATGAGAGGTCAGCACGGGTATTGTATATATAGTTAAATCAGGAGCCTAATGAATTTGCATAGCTGTTGCACTTTCCCAAAATGTCTTCAAAAATGGAATCTCTCACGTGAATGCGCGGCTTACTGTGAGCTTAGTGCTGAATCCACGCGGCTTAGTAGGCACTAATAAAACCGAGAAAATAATGATAAAAGCTTAGGACAGAAATATTCCCTCCAAGAACGCACAATGTAAAGCAAGCGACTCTCGACATAGAAGTAATATACAACTTAAGTCTAAGCCAATAGTAGACAAGGCGAGAACGATTATGTCTAGCACGAAGCCGCAAAAAATGCATACTTAGTACTCATCGTTGAGCCCAATTTACTTCCTCGAACAAGCTATAGCTCTACTCTCGATTCGTTTAACGTTGCTAAAAAGTATGAAACGATAAAACTCGCTTATATAATCGAGCATTGAGTTCAAATTTAGACACCGTTAGAACCAACTTATCCATACTTCCTCTCTAGTTGTACTGTTCGAGTATAATTCTGGATAACAATCTTCGAATACATTAAAATTATTATTTTGCTGGTCGGTAGGGCTATGATGAGCAAGCTGACACGTTTCGCACGATGAAAAAAAATGCTTAAATGCGTACTGGAAAATTTTGAGTATCTGAAATCACCATAAATGTAATGGCCGTGATAATAAAGAAGTATTAATATGGGATTGTTTTTGTCAGCTTTTCTGGTCTATCGCTTAAAGATCCGCATCAACCATCAGTACGATATACTCCGTAGTAATCATTTCCACACGAAATGGGATGTGGCTTGTAACTCAATACGAAATACAAATCAAACAGAATGATGGCCGTGAAATGCACTCCTAGGAGCAACCAAGGCTGGGAATTGCTGCAAGCAACCAATCTTTAGCCAACACTTACGTAATACAGATTTTTACCAGTATGATGGGAGGCGAAAGTTCATTCTACGAGAGCTCCATTATTAAACGAAAGATAAAAATAGAGTTCAACGTAATTTCGATTATTTCCGCAGGATGTTGCTTGTATGAGTGACCATCATTGTGCTCGAGGTGGACGGAGTTACAAGCGGCATCGTCTTCCGATATGCAATGATTGCAACCTTTCGATGAAGTTATGTATGTAAAAGGTGCTTTGGCTTAAGAATTCAGACCTCCGTTGTAACAACTCTGGATTAAAATCCAGAGAGCATTTTCTACATGCACTGCATCGCTACGAACCCTGTCAAACAAAGATGGCTTTGTGTGAATGTGCGAGTCGGAGTTCGGCGTCGGCTAGGGTGCGTCGATGTCACCATGAAAGGAGATGAAGATAACCGACATATTAGGAGATCAATCGTTACCACAAAAAAGACTGCTTGCTGACTGGGGCTGAAATACAGGTAGTAGCAGTAAGCGGTCTCGAGTGTATCTCGGAAAGTAAGTCAGAGCTATGCATGTATACAGTAAAGAAAGTGAATTCGTTTTTGGACAATTGAAAACATTCACTCAAGAATCCGTCGATGTTGATAGGCTAAGCCATGGCGCTTGAGAG